AAAAATGGCACCATGGAAGAATGGCTTGTTAAAACTAAAGAATTATTACGTATATTTTTGCTAGAGTTTGGCATATTCTAAAAATTTGGCGACTTCGCCTCTGGTTGTGCTAGTATGCAAGTGCTAAAATTTTATTATATTTGTTACCAACAAAGTTCATTTAGAAATTATTACAGCAATAATCTTCAAAATAAACATTCACATTCTGATTAAGATGTTTTCTTTTCTTGTAAGTGTGAAGTATTTAAACTTGAGTTCAAAATTAAACTTTTTCCAGCATTTCAAAATAAAACAGCAAAATGTATATTTATATTTATTTTTCCATCATATTAGAAATAGCTATTCACCAGATTTGCCTACATTTTCATTGAACAACAAAATTTAAATTACATTTAAGAACTCAACAAATTATCACAAAACTCATAATTTCTTTGTAAATGTACTGCAAAATTGCAAATACACACTTCTTAATTTTACAGGTTTAAATTATTACAGTACACAAATAAAATATCCATTTCATTGACAGATTAAGTAAAATCAAACAAGAATATGTGATCTTTAATATTATCCATATCATAAGCAGTATATTAAATTCAATTAGTCTACAATTTATTTATCCTTTTCGCGTGAGCTCGAAAAACAGTTGTATACCTTCACTGGGGGCTCTTGGCTCAGCGGTTATGCAAAGGGGGGGGGGAAATTATCGAATTGAGTCTTGATGACTAGGTGATTAGTGCTCTTTTGTCGGGCAGGCAAGGAAACTGTCATGATTTCCTTTCAATCCAGTTCCAATGCCCTAAGCGTTAGAATGCAGGATGCACTAATCGCTTTCACACTGCAGGTAGATGAATGCAGTTTTTCCAAGGGGAAAAAATATTATTTTATCTTCTTCAGATGAAATGTATGCTACAGCTATAAAATTTTGTTCTAAAAAGTGTTCCATTTTATGATTAAAATAGTTTTTTAAACTTGCACGTAGATTATGTACTAAAAAATAAGCGAAGCAATCGGAATTAAATATATTCACTTGTCTTCATATCGAAAACTCAGCAAGTTAAAATACTCAAACATTTCCTGCAAACAATATATACATTTTCATTTTTAATAACATTATTATTATGATGTTGAAGAGCAAATTAAATAGAATTTATTTACTACAAAGAAACTAAAAACTTTACTAAAAAGAATTTCCGGATTCCAAAATCAGTGTTATTACTTTTACACCTCTGGTAATATTCATTTCTGGAGAAATAGAAATTGGTCACTGCTTTTGTACTGTACTAAAAATTTACAATGTATGAGCCAAGAAATTTTTTATTTATTTTTCTTCCATGTGGCATTCCAAATAGCGATACCAGAGTTGATCTGCCTTTACATAAAGCATATAAGATGTTTAATTTTTTTTAACCGTTTCATATAGTTTTAGGTTCAAGAAAGAAATGCAGATGCAAACCCTAGAACTTTAGAATATAAAATCCTTGTTGAGTTTTAATGTATTCGGTAACAAAAATTTAATTTTATCACTTAGCTATATAAGGTATTACTTTGTTGATAGATATTATTTTGTATACTTGTTCTATAATTTATATTACTACACCATTTTTTTCTTTGAATGCAAAACTGCATATACAGAAACGCATTGATATTTCAGAAAGTAAACACCTTTGTCGAATAGCGAAATATTTGTTCAGTTTTTTATGATCTACATTTTCAGAATGCTAAAATCACCTTTGAGGTATCAAACTGTTATGCAAAATTTTCAGATCTCAAGCTATTTACACTTGCTTTCTTTGGGAGTAATGAAGATGGGAATGAAGATTCATACTGAGTTGATGAATATTAATGAAGATTCGCACTGAGGATTAAATTCAGGGAACTAAAAAGTGTTACACATCTGAATTCCTGAATACATGCTTAGTATTTCAATATCTAAATTTGATTCCCTCCAAATCACAATTCTCTTATAAAATTAATTACTTTCTGAACATTACTAGCAACTGAGCGGTTAAGGCCGCTAAATGCTGTTAGTTCGCATGATCGGTTTTCGTTGTTTCCCCCATGTGAAACGTGAATACGAGCCAATTTCCTCTAATAGATCTCCACGAAGGCATCTTTTTCTTTAGGTAGGCAGCCTTCGTGTACTTTTTCATATTAAATTAGCCTAAACTGTGTCTAATTTCTGAACGAATTGATATAGATATGACATTATAGACCCAAACATATAACAACCGATAAATTAATAAGTTTTGAAACTTTTTGAATTAGAAAATGTTCCATAATAATTGCTTTAGTAAAAATTTGTATTTCATTTGTCACACAATTAAAATTCATTTTGTCGTCAAAATTATTCATAAAAGGAAACGCTTATAAGTTTAGCTTTCTTATTTCGAATATAATTTTAATTTTATTTGTCGGATTAAAGAAAGTGTTATCTACCTAAGTGAAAAGGGCTATTGTGGAGAGCCCTCAAAGGAAATTGGCTGATATACCCTAATTATATGTGAGAGAACAAGAAAAGTTCATGCAGTCAATCCGTTCATTGGAATTTGAATCCAGGTTAAATTATCAGAGTTAAAGAAATATTATCCGTTCGGCCACTAGTTTTCATTTAGAACATAACAAACAAAATTTTACTCAAGTAAGCAGTAGTCGTGGAATGTATGTCATTTAGAAATAACATTAAAATTAATTTTCATCACATGAAACATTTATATTTATTTACACTGCCTTAACATGCACATTAAAAAATGGAATAAAGTGGTAAAAACACTTATGAAAAGAATGAAACAAAGACAATATCAAATTCGAATTGAAACCAAATTAAGAAGAATTTAATAAGAAATAACTGAAAAAATTATGCATTTTTAACTACATTCAAGCTTTTGAAATAATTTCCGAAGAATTTTAGCAGACGAACTTCCGAAAATAAAATTTCTTTGATACTTGACCTCCAAGCCGTATTTGCACAGGAAAAAACATGAAAACGCAAATGCGCGTGAATCGAAGTAACAAATTATTCTTTTTATTTTCTCCTCTCAACAAAATATTTCCTAGAAGATACCGAATTTGCCAACAACACATGTGAATTCAAAACATAGACAATTTTCCCCAATCCATTGAACACACTCTACGGGGTGTCATAAAATAGTCATCAAGCCTCAAGCGCTAGAATTCCTATCCCTGCCACCAAGGACAATCTGTCCCGAGCCCCCAGTTGTATACTTACTTCGGGACACATATGTCCCAGCCCCCGGGAAAAGGTTAAGCTCCTAGGTTTAAAATGTAAAGCTGCTTGTTTTATTACAAGTGATTTTCAGTTTCTCATCTAAAGACCAAAATTTGCATAAAAAGAATGCAATTTTTACTAATTGATATTGCTAAAATACTTTCACTGAATTTTCCCATAGTATGTTTATGTATGAAGTTTTTTAAACATTATGTTCACTAGGAATGTTTGCATGTATTTGATTTGAACTGTACAATAACATATACTTCAGCAAACCATTAACTATAAATTCTAAATTTACTTCTATCATAGAATAACTTGAAAAGTGAGTCAATCAAAATACTGACAACAGAGAAAGTCCAACCTTTTTTTTAAATGCCCATAAAGTCACTTTTTAAAAACCTAATATTGATTCTGGCAATTTTATCTGGCTAACATGAAGGTGAATACTACTGCAACCATTATCAACCCACATAATGGTGCAAAACTATTTTGTAAATGAAAGAGTTTTACATAAAGATGCCACAATTTTATGCTACCATTTGCTGCGCTGCTACTAGTAAAATTATTCGCAAAGCTTTGGAATGTATCACCATAATGACCTTGACACAGTATGCAAAGGAAGATATGACAGAGTATGCAAAGGATTCTATTTCAGAGAAGAGGGGAGAGGAATTAGAGGCGGGATGTTTCTGAAATGGGAAAGTAATGACTGTGCGGTTATTGGTCATTTTTCTGTTTGAGTAAAATGTATTTTTTTAATTCTGTGTCTAACATTTTCGTTTACTGTTTGTAGTAGGTACTTTTTTTATGAATATGTATGACAGTAAAATAGATGACAACTTTCCGTCATCTTCAGGATCGAACATCTTAGAATATGATATTATGTCAGACGAAAAAAATTGCAACTATTCTCCGAAAGATGCTCAATGTTGGGTACGACTTGATATTAAAAACTTGCCTATGCCACCTCCACATTTTCCATTTAGGTATACTGATTTTACAAGGTATAAAACTGAAACCTGATATTACACTTTACTGGTCTAAAAATAAATTGATCGAATTTCCATTTTGGGGGATCTTTATTATACAAACATCATTTTTATTATATTTACATCTTTTGTATTATACTTTTACTCTAATCATTAAATTTGTAGTTTCATTTTTTTTTATTTACTCCTTATTTTGTAATAGTAAATCGTTTTTAGACAGCAAAACTTGCACTTATTGTCCCCCTAATACATCACATAACTATGCGCGCATGTCTAAAAACTGGTGGCACTGGGGAGTGAATTTTGTACATTTTTCATGGCAGTTAAGGTGTTAATAAATGAATTAGACAGCACATGAAAATTATACTTGCATAGCAGTGTTGATGTGCTCATATCATTTTGAAGACTGTCACTACATCAAAGTTACCTTCATGATGGATCTGACACCATTGTGCCCAAGCCTAGGGAAAAACTAGCCAGCCATTATAAAAGAATCTACAATTGTTAACAGGGGACATCATTCTGCAGTGATTCCATTTTTCCTTATCAGTTCTGACTTAAATTCTAGGCTAAACACACGCAGGGAGTTATAAAGCGAAAGCTACTCATAATGATTAATGGTTTCACCTAGTACATTAACATTTGTTATTAAATTTGACATTTATCTGAATCTTTCCAACAAAAATGCTTGAAACTAAGGCTCTGTTTCATATTTGGAAGATTAAGTTACATGTATACCATAAATATACTTCAAAAGATCTAAGCAAATATCAAATACTTACCTTATTGTGGATGTGTCTTCTTCTCTGATAAACTGAAATTATAATTCAGATAAATATCACACATAGTGAAATAAAAGATAACAGCAAGAAAAAAGACAACTTTTTATTAAAATTTCATTAATGAGTTTAAAAGTACATTTTCTTGGGGGACGAAATACTGTCGAGAATGCAGGAAACTGCCATTCAAACAAGACTGCCAGGTTTCTTCCACAGTGGGAAAAAAAGGGCTAGAAGAAATGGAAGAAACTAATTTTTCAACTTATTAATATTATTAATTCTATATTTTATTCATCTGTACTGCTCATATATTACTACTTATTGTGCTTTGTCATTTTCAGAAGTATGAGTATTTTCGTGGAAAGTTCTAGAGCAGTAAAATGTTTCTTTGGAGAAAAGAAATTTTACCGATTTCTGATCAGTTCACTGTGCGCAACGATTCTGAGCAAAGTTATGGTGATTCGTGTGTTCTGTACATAGCGGTATGGCTTCCATGGAGTGTCTTGCATATAGCACAGTGTGGTGAGATTATGCGGTATTTCTCTTGAAAATCACATTCTTCATCAAATTCCCGTCCCAACAATATCTAATTTGTACATATTACTAGTGAAATTATTGAAAATTGTAACTGATGCTTTTTTTGTTTACATCATCATCTATTTTGTCAGTTTGTGTTATTTTACCTAGTATAAGACTAACAGAAGTACGAGAGGTAAATTAAAATTTTTTTCAGTAAAAATGCCTTTGTGCTAACGCAGTCTCAGGTGTGCATTTAAACAGAATTAAAAATTATCTGTTTCCTATGTCACAGGATAGATCAAAATGACAAAAAAGTCTGAAATATTAATTTTTTTATTATTTATTATTTAAATATTTATTTTTTTGGTTTACTTTTGTTGATACTGTGCTATAAGAAGATAGAATATGTTTAGTGTGTCAATGAATAAAAACATATCACAATGGATTCTGGATGAAAATTTGATTTTTTGGATTCCTTTTGCTGAAGTATTTGAAGAAGCAAGAATAAGTATGCTGAATTCAAGATTTCTTTTTCATTTCTATCTGGTCAAATTTATGTGGCATTGAAAATATAGAGATAACCCAGAAACACTTTTCCCCCATATTCTTAAAATGTATCAAAATTATATACAGTACAAAGTCCAAAATCCGAACTTGTCAAGACTTCAGCGATTCCAGATATTAGATCATCAGTTCAAATCTAATAAGATGACTTGTACAAATTATAAAATTAAAAATATGAAATTGTGATTTATGAAATAATGGAGTATTTATGATAAAAAGTATCAAAATTTACAAAAAAAAAAAAAAAAAAAAAAAAAAAAAAAGGCTCAATATATTATTTGTTTATCTTATAAACATTTCTTTCAATGCAAGTTGTTTCATTTTTTTTTTTTTTTTTTTTTTTTTTGCGCTATTACTTTCTCTTTAATTCTGTAGAACAGACATAATCTCTTGTTCAGTTACATTGCTTGTAAGTTCCTGTAACTGCTATGTGTCGAGAATTCCAACTAACTTTGTCAATCGAAATTTTCTTCGTTTTCAGTAACTTCTCTGTTCATGTCACTTTCTTCACTAATGGTAGCAGTATTTTCTGGATCTAGAAACCATACTACAGATTTTGCCATTCATTAATTGATTGATGATTGAGAAGCATTGTCATCACAATGGAAAACTTCTTTTATATCATCTTCATTTATTACCACTTCTCCACATTTTTTTACAAAATCCATTAATTGGAAAAATTCACCTTTGTTTTACAATATCCAAAAACCTTTAAAATTTGTGACTATCGTCATCAAATTGAACTATCCTTCACTATACATATTTGGCTACGCATCATGAGCTTGGCGACTAACGACAAGTTGTTCTGTTAAATATTATCTTGCTTCTATTGCGCATTGAAACAATTAAGCCTGAATTGTATTAGTTATGTATTGTTCTTGTGTCTATTTTTTGCACATACTTATCAGAGTTCTGAATAAATAAATTTTCACATATACTTAAGTCTTATTGAGGGCCAGCGCTAGATATCTTACCGCCTGATGCAGATTCTGTCTGTCCTAAATTCTGCCGTTCAGTGCGGCCATACAACCCCTGGTGCTGGTTCTGTGTTTATGTGAGCAATAAATCAGTTATTCTTAATTCAAATATCACTAAATAGTCTTTTGGCACATGAGTATCATTAAAAAAAATCTATTTTTAGCATATGAAAAATATTTGTTAAAGTTTTCCTCATCAACATTTTTTGCACTTTTAACTTAAATCCATAATCATCGCCAAGTGTAATGTCAACATAAAAGGTTACCATACTCCTTTATTATTAATATAAAAAAATTGTTTAGGCTTCGCTACATGAGTCATTACTCAAGTTATCATGTTTTGATAAACATGTTATGAAAGGAAAGTATAATAAATAATGATCTGCTGGGTTGGCGTCAGATCAACGATTTGTCTATGTGGAATGTTTTAGTTTGAGACGTTTGCCAAAGCAGATATGCAGCAACGGAGCCAAATTACTGATCGTACAAATTTATACTAAAATGATTGTTTCTTTAATATCAAGATATTTAGTATCGAAGTGAAATTAAGAATTGGGACTCTCCACATGTTTTATTATGCGCAGAGGGGGGTAATCAAATGCGTATGCGTAAAGCCTACGAAGAAAAACGGTTTTGGTGGTTTTGAAGTCCTGATTTTAGATTATTCCGGATAATGGACATCTGGATTTTGGACTTTGTACTGTATGAGCTGTATACTGCTGATCAAGGAAAAAAACTAAATGTACATATTAATTAATATTTGTTTCATTCTTATTTTATGTTTCTTACTTTTCAAATTTTAAAAACTGACTGCTCATTTATGGAATTCATAGCATGCCACTATTTTGAAGATGGCTACTGCCTTAGGCACCTAAGCTCGCAAAAAATTCTAAATCTTGCTGAGGGATACCTTTTTAGGAAAGAACACCAGAGATTATAGTTGTTTAACTAGTTAAAAATTAATTAAGACACAAATTAATCAATATTCTTATACACTAATAATAATACATTGAAACAAAACTTTTTTTTTTTTTTTTTTTTTAAATTTTCATCAATCTTACACACAGTCAGACAACACATAATATTGTAGACAAAAAGGTTGTAGTATAAAGGCTTGACATGAACTATGCCACACTGGTAGGCATAGTAGTTAGTGATGCTAGATGATATATCGATGCAGCCATGTTTGAATACCAGAGAAGGTTTTAATATGTGTAGAGTCTTTTTGGCATGGGAAGGGGTTCTTAAAATACACAGCAAGTTGAAAGTTTTCTGAAATCACTTAGCAGTAGAGGAAGAAGGGTTGGAGATCCACAGATTCTTCCCCCATGGCATTCTCCTTTAAAACTGGACAGAATAGGGCAAAATCCTATTGTCACTTATAATGTGGTCAAGGCCTATGTCAGCAAAAAATGCACTCCTGCATTTCTCAACATAACAAAATTTGTGAATTTGTTCTGATGTTATTGCCAGACAAGTGAGATAAGCCACAATAAAATAATTTATTAATTTGAAATAAACACACATGTAATATTAAATATACATATACAATATTAAAAATTATACTCATCAAAATGAAGTTATACTACAAAAAAGATATATAACTACAAGTTTACTCCACAGCACGGTACAGAATCTGAGACACACTGTAGGGGAACTAAACACATTAGATGCCCATAATTAAATTACTTTTCACCCAATAATATCAAGATATTGAATATTTTGAATTAATTCAGGAATCTGACATTTTAAAATAAATCAAATTCCATAACAAAATACAGAATATTTTACGCAATAAATGACATTAGCTTTTATTTATCTCTGATGTTGCATCATTACAGCAACCCCTCAGCATAAGAGTAGTAGAAGAACAAGAGGTAAATTAAAAATTTTTTCAGTACAAGTAAATGGCAAAATATTGCAATGAGTAATTTAATAATAAGCTCTGATCATATGCTGTTGAAATCATCAGACTGACAGATCAAAACAATAATATTATTGTCAGTGGTTATCATAGATATTTTCTATTAAGTTTTGTATTTTTAAATGAGTTTGTATTACTAAATAGAAATTTATTATGAATGCTTGTTGTCACAAATTAGCAACTATTCAAAAAAATCTAATTTCAATAACAAAAATGTTAAAAACAGTTAATGCTCTTAAAATTTTAAATGAAAAAAACTTGTTGAAAATACTTAAGAATCTAAATATCTCAGCAAAACTTTTCATAGTAACTGGCTGCGGACATTGTGAAATCGCTGAATTTCTGTAGTCTTCTCTTAAAAAAAAAATTAGCTGATATATATCTATTACAGTTTCCCATCCTTAAGATGCATTCACACCGACCCGGTGGCACAAAAAAAGTGCTTTACATGTAATGTTAATTCACACTAGAGCAGAAACTATCGCTTTAAAAGCTGTCATACGTGCACACTAAATGGCTGTTCATATTGGGCGTGTCTTTTTGAGTGGTATTTTGCCCATAGTTATATCTACCTCCAGCCAACCTATATGTATATATAGGTAAGGGAAGTAATGATTTCAGCCCAAAAATTCGATACTGAGCTTTCAGTGAATAAGGAATTAAGGTCCCCACAATACATTTTTGCTATTTTTAGAATGCTTTCTGCCTGGGTGTATGTGTATGATGACTTTTCGTCTACAGTAATTCTTATATGAAAGTACCAAAAATTTCTATTTCTCATATTCAAGATTTCTATATTCATGTAGAGAGTTTATTTAGATTTGAGGTATAACTGGACAACCGGAAGTGGTATTTCAAACCCATACATACTTGTTTACAGTAGCGGAACCTTTGATCCCAAGAAATGCAGATAAAGTTAAAGGGGAAAAAAAAGGTCACTATTCTTACCTCCCAACAACATACATAATGGAGGTAATGTTTTCGATCCAAAAATTCAATAGTAAATTTTCAGCGAATTAGCATAAATTAGGGTACCTCTAACACATT